TGTTGAAGTTTTGTGCATTATTTTTTGTTTTGAGACAGGGTTTTGCTCTGTTTCCCAGGCTGGGGTGCAGGGGCGTGATCACAGCTCACTGCAGCCTCAAACTCCTGGGCTCAAGAGATCCTCCCACCTCAGCCTTGAGTAACTGAGACTACAGACATTTGCCACCATGCCTGGATATTTTTTAAATTTTTTTTAAGAGATGGGGTCTCACTATGCTGCCCCGGCTGGTCTCAAGCTCCTGGGCTCAGGTGATCCTCCCGCCCTCTGCCTCTGCCTCCCAGTGTGCTGAGATTTCAGGCATGAGCCGTGAGACATTTTTGGCGCCTGGCCTGCGCATTATTTGTTGCTAGTAGCACCCAGGGTCCTGCAAATTCCTGAGTTATCTTTTACCCTTATCCTAGGGAGGAATGGAGGAGCTTCTCTTTTTTCCCACTTCCACCTCACCATCTTGTCTGAGAGAAGCCAGACTCCTCCCTCTGGCATCATTAAAGGTTAAAAGGTGACGCCATGAGGGAACTCAGATCAGGAAAGAAACCAGATCCGAGGGTTTCCTGCCCCCACTCCTGGCGGAGACCACAGAGGGAGGGCAGAATCTCTTCCTGGGCTTCAGCAGCTTGGAGGTCCCTTCCGCTGCATCAGATAATCCTGGGAACTCCAGCACTTTGGAAAGGGTCAACTCATTATCTCAGCCCTTATCTTACATTGCAGACTTTTGATTTAGGTGGCCTCTGGTGGGTGTTCTCTATGAAGTTTGGGAAGTGACAGTGGCTAGAGTGTCACTGGGTGTGACAGCATCATCTTTATAGCACATGTGGAATAGTGCTCACCCCTAGCGCAGCACTTGGGAGGCACATAATGTTACCAATTTCTCTGAGAGATAATAGGGAAAGTGAGACACAAATAACTTGCCCCACATGGCAGGCCAGCTTGTGACCCAGGGAGTGGGGTCTTTGTCCCTGAGCTCCAGCAGGGCCAAGATGCAAGGTTTGCCTGCCTGCTCTCGAAGGAGTTTAGATCTGCCAGTCTCCCTCTGGAGACCCCCAGGTGTCCTTGAAATTCCCACTTCTCAGCCAAGCACTCTTAGGAGAGGCAAAGTGAAACCACACAAGGCCTGGCAGATCTGATTTCAAGCACAGCTCTTTCTTTTTTTTTTTTTTTTTTTTTTGAGATGGAGTTTCGCTCTTGTTACCCAGGCTGGAGTGCAGTGGCGCGATCTCGGCTCACCGCAACCTCCGCCTCCTGGGTTCAGGCAATTCTCCTTCCTCAGCCTCCTGAGTAGCTGGGATTACAGGCACGTACCACCATGCCCAGCTAATGTTTTGTATTTTTAGCAGAGACGGGGTTTCACCATGTTGACCAGGATGGTCTCGATCTGTTGACCTCGTGATCCACCCGCCTCGGCCTCCCAAAGTGCTGGGATTACAGGCTTGAGCCACCGCGCCCGGCCTTAAGCACAGCTCTTTCTTCTGCGACCCCCGAGCAGGAGGGAGGCACCCTGCTGTCCAGTAGTAGCACTGCTCCCAGAGGAGGAGGGCCTGGCCTGTGTGGGGGCAGTGGGATCCCCCACCGGGCATCCATCCTGCCTGGCCCAGATCTTCCCTCTGCTGGTGGCTGGCGTGGGAAGCACGCATTTCCAGGAAGTGCCCTGTAATCCAGTGAAGTTGCCGGATGTCCTTGAGTCACTGGCTCCTCATCGTCTTGACTCCTCCATTGTCGCTTCCGGTCACTCCCAGGTCCTGGCTCCTTTTTATTCCCCTCTCTGTGCTGTTTCTAATTCCCAGGAGGTGAGGAAAGGTTTCTCCTTCACCTCCGGCCAACCTCCTTCCCCCTGCCCAAAGCCTGTGGTTCTGGGGTGAGGGTGAGGTTAAGGATGAGGTGAGTGCAGGAATGAAGATGAAGGAGACAAAAAGGGTGGCCAATTCTCAGCCCACAAGGAGCAGGGGGCTTCCCTGGGTGGACGTGGGGTGCTGGGCTGTGGTCTGTATTTCCCAGGATTAATCTACACATTCCCTGGAGCAGTGGGGAATGAGGTGCCCAGACCACAGATATGTTAACCTGTTGTGTGCAAAACTGCATATCCTGTGCTCTCAGGCATCCATAGCCTTTTTCAGCTTTCCCAGGCTTGAGCCCCAGGGATGCTTATGATCCACCCCCTCCCCCTCCCCCTGCTGATGTTCCTTATGGTGGAGTGGAAAAAACCCAGCGCCCAGCACATCTGGATTCTTGTCTCTCTCTGTCCTTACCAACTGTGTGACTCGGGTGACTCATGTGCCCCTCTAAGCCTCAGTTCTCTTATCTGCAAGCCAGGGATGGTAATGATAACTCCGTGGGATCGCTGGGAAGAACACATGAAATAAAGTCTTTCAAATGCCCAGGACTGTGTATTACCACAGAGTTTAAAGAAAGGCAGGCTCTGGTGGCTCATGCCTGTAATCCCAGCACTTTGCAAAGCAGAGGCAGGAGCATGGCTTGAGCCCAGGAGTCTGAGGTTACGGTGAGCCATGACTGCACCGCTGCACTGAACTCTAGTCTGAGGGACAGAGCGAGAGAGACCCTATCTCAGGAAAAAGAAGGAAAAAAGAGGTGGTTTAATCAAAATGAAGCATCTAACACAATGCCTGGTGCAGAGGAGAAAGCTCAACAGAACAAAAGTTTTGTTCTCATATTTCCTCCATGACCTATGGCCCAGGAATAGTTACTGCAGAGAGTCTGGGGAGGGGCCTACCGCTGAGGCTAGGTAGGGTCTAGAATAGTATTTCCCAGAGTGGGTTCCTCGGTGCACAGCCTTGCTATCTGTTGGGATCCACATGGGGAGACGTTACTCCAGAGCGTTCTTGATAATGAGTCACCATTTAAACTAGACTAGACTCCTTATGCTAGATCTTCCAGCAATTAAAGGGTAAATTATTTTAAGCCATAGTGTATTTTCCCATAACTTAGCCTGGCTGAGTGAGTTATTGGCATCATTTTCCCATAAACTGTTAAGAATCGTGAATTCCTTAAGGTGGTGAATACTTGTGTGAGATTCAAATCACAGTGAGCAGGATGATCAGTAGGAGTAGCCCCAGGATGGTGCTGTCAGTAGGAGTGTGGCAGTAGTCACATATGGAACTTTATGCTTTCTAGGAGCCATGTTTTTAAAACTAAAGAAAGAGGAAATTAATTTTTTTTTTTTTTTTTGAGACAAAGTCTTACTCTGTTACCCAGTCTGGAGTGCAGTGGCATGATCTCAGCTCACTGCAACCTCCGCCTCCTGGGTTCAAGTGATTCTCCTGTCTCAGCCTCCCGAGTAGCTGGGATTACAGATGCACACCACCACACCCATCTGATTTTTTTGCTGTTGTTGTTTGTTTGTTTTGAGACAGAGTCTTACTGTGTCACCCAGGCTGGAGTGCAATGGCTCAGTCTCAGCTTACTGCAACCTCCGCCTCCTGGGTTCAAGCAATTCTCCTGCCTAAGCCTCCCGTTGCTGGGACAGGTGCCCACCACCACACCCAGCTACTTTTTGTATTTTTAGTAGAGACAGGGTTTCACCTTGTTGGCCAGGCTTGTCTCGAACTCCTGACCTCATGATATGCCCGCCTCAACCTCCCAAAGTGCTGGGATTATAGGCGTGAGCCACCACGTCCAGCCTAATTTTTGTATTTGTAGTAGGGACAGGGTTTTACCATGTTGGCAAGGCTGGGCTCCAACTCCTGACCTCAGGTGATCCACCCCAAAGTGCTGGGATTATAGGTATGAGCCATTGCACCCAGCCAAATTTTTTTTTTTTTTTTTTTTTTTGAGATGGGGTCTCACTCTGTCACCCAGGCTGGAGTGCAGTGGCACCATCTCAGCTCACTGTAACCTCTGCCTCCTGGGCCTAAGTGACCCTCCCAACTCAGCCTCCCAGGTAGCTGGGACCACAGGCTAGAGCCACCACACCGAGCTAATTTTTTGTAGAGACAGGGATTCGCCATGTTGCCCAGGTTGGTCTCAAACTCCTGAGCTCAAGCGATCTGCCCACCTCGACCTCCCAAAGTGCTGGGATTACAGGCGTGACCCACCATGCCTGGCTGGGGAAATTAATTTAAATAATATGTTGTATTTATTTAACCTAGTACATCCAAAATATTTTCGTGTCCATGTAATCGTAAAACCATGAATGAGATATTTTCCATTACTGTTTATAGGAAGACTTCCAAATCCAGTGTGTATTTTATACCTGTAGCATGTGTCAGCTTGGATGCTAAATTTCATAAATACTAGATCAATACTGGAATTTTATAAAATTTACAGTTGAAAATGTAGATTCACATACTCTGGTTGTTCCAAACATATTTAAGTTTTCCAGTAACTGAGTCAATTATCAGTTGCTTGTTTGTTTTTTCAGACAGAGCTCACTCTGTCATGCAGGCCCAGGCTGGAGTGCAATGGTACGATCTCTGCTCACTGCAACCTCCGCCTCCCAGGTTTAAGTGATTCTCCAGCCTCAGCATCGCCAGTAGCTGGGATTATAGGCATGTGTCACTATGCCCAGCTAATTTTTGTATTTTTAGTAGAGATAGGGTTTCACCATGTTGAACAGGCTGGTCTCGAACCCCTGACCTCAAGTGATCCATCCTCCTTGGCCTCTCAAAATGCTGGGATTACAGGCATGAGCCACCATGCCCAGCCGGTTATCAGCTTCAAATGTAAAATAATTGAAATAAAAAATTCTGGCCAGGTTGTGGCTCATATCTGTAATTCCAGCTCTTTGGGATTACACTTGAGGCCAAGAATTTTATTTTATTTTATTTTTATTATTTTTTGAGACGGAGACTCACTGTGTCGCCCAGGCTGGAAGGCAGTGGTGCAATCTCGGCCCACCACAACCTCAGCTTCCGGGGTTCAAGTGATTCTCCTGCATCAGCCTCCTGAGTAGCTGGGATTATAGGTGCCTGTCATCATACCCGGCTAATTTTTTTTTTAAGTAGACACGGGGTTTCACCATGTTGGCCAGGCTGGTCTCAAACTCCTGACCTCAGGTGATCCACCTGCCTCAGCCTCCCAAAGTGCTGGGATTACAGGTGTGAGCCACCATGCCCAGCTGAGGCCAGGAATTTTAAGACTCACCTGGGCAACACAGTGAGACCGTCATCTCTTAAAAAAAAAAAAAAAAAGAATAGTGAGACACAGTGGTGCACACCTGTAGTCCCAGCTACTCTTGAGCTGAGGTGGGAGGATCACTTGAGCCTAGGAGGTTAAGGCTACAGTAAACTGTGAACATGCCACTGTACTCCAGCCTAGTTAACAGAGTGAGACCCTGTCTCAAAAAAATTAAATTAAAAATTTAGTTTCTTAGTCACACTAACCACATGTTAAGTACTCAGTACCCTTATGTGGCTTATGGCTGCTGGATTAGATGCCCGAGGTTTAGGATATCACTGTAAATGCCAGAAACAGAGATGTTTCATGTCAGTGGTATTATTCAACATTGTATTGGCAGTGTAGCAAAAAGAAAAAAAAGATAATGAGGAATGGAGGAGGCAAAATTATTATTAGTTGCAGATGATGAGCTTATCCACTTGCAAAGCCCAAATGATTCAATCATATAGTGGATTAGAGAATGTAAGACAATATAAGCTTGGTGGAGTGGCCATTAAATATATTGGGGGGTAAAAAAACGTAGCTTCCTGGCTGGGTGCAGCAGCTCACACCTGTAATCCCAGCACTTTGGGAGACTGAGGCAGGTGGATCACCTGAGGTCAGGAGTTCGAGACCAGCCTGGCCAACATGGTGAAACCCCGTCTCCACTAAAAATACAAAAATTAGCTGGTTGTGGTGGCTCATGCCTGGAGTCTGAGGCACAAGAATTGCTTGAACCTGGGAGCCAGAGGTTGCAGTGAGCTGAGATCACGCCATTGCACTCCAGCCTGGGCAATACAGTGAGACTCAGTATCAAAAAAAATTAGCTGGACGTGATGGCGCGTGCCTATAGTCCCTGCTACTCGGGAGGCTGAGGCACAAGAATCACTTGAACCCGAGAGTGAAAGGTTGCAGTGAGCTAAGCTCACACCACTGCATTCCAGCCTGGGGGGGACAGACTCCCAAGAATGTATCATCTGGAAGTAGTTAAGGATATGCATAATTATCTGAAAGGACCCTACAGAGTTTCAACTGAAGATGGAAACAACCTTGCAGTGCAGTGCCTGACTGGATGTAAAAATCAGATATTAAGACTTAATTTAAAACAATGTAGCCTAATTTATTACCATGTAAATATTTTGACCCAGCTGTGAACAATAGTTGGCTTTATTTATCCATCTACAAGGGAACATGCTGTTTGTGTACTAAGGGGGAAAGTGTCTAAATTATCACTCTCCGATAGAGGTCGTAGGCAAGTGCCATACATAATTTATATTTTAATAGTTACATTTTAACAAGAGGAAATAGATGGTACATTTTATTTGACTCACTGTACTCAAAATATTATCATTTTAACACATTATCAGTACAAAAATATGAGATATTTTATGCATCCTCTTTTTTATATTAAATCTTAAAAGTCCAGTGTGTATTTTCCACTTGAGCACATATCCATTTGGACTTGCCACATTTATTGTTAATTTATTTTTTATTTTTTTGAAACAGAGTTTTGCTCTTTTTTTGCCCAGGCTGGAGTACAATGGTGCAATCTTGGCTCACTGCAGCCGCCACCTCCCGGATTCGAGCACTTCTTGTGTCTCAGCCTCCCGAGTAGCTGGGTCCACAGGCGCACACCACTGTGTCTGGCTAGCTTTATATTTTTATTCGAAATAGCATTTCACCATGTTGGCCAGGCTGGTCTCGAACTCCTGACCTCAGGTGATCTGCCTGCCTCAGCCTCCCAAAGCGCTGGAATTACAAGCGTGAGCCACCTTGCCCGGCCTATTTTTTATTTTTCTGTATTTATTTTTATTTGTATCAATATACGGAGTACAAGTATAGTTTTGTTACACGGATATATTGTCTAGTGTGAAGTCTGGGTTCCTAGTGTAACCTTCACCCAACCATTTACATTCCACCCATTAAGTAACTTCCCATCCCTCACCGGGCTCCCACCCTCCGAATCTCCAGTGTTTATTATTCCACACTGGCCACATTTCAAGTGCTCAAAAAGCCACATGTGGCTAGTGGACAGTGGAGGGTCAATTATTGTTAACCCATAGGGAGATGGCAGAGAGTGGAAATAGCTGGGAGGTCCTAGTGTGCATGATTGCTTTCCTCCTTGTCCTGGTCACTCTGTGAACCCTGCTCTCCCTGATTCACCCCCGCTTCCCATTAGACTCTTCCCTCCCTGCCTCACGCCCAGTAGGGATACCTGGAGAATGGGCACTGTCTTATAGCTTGGAGGTGGCAGGGGGTGGGGGGGGGACACTTCATGAAATCTGGGACCTTGCCACTTTCTCTTCTTTCAAGAAGGGGCCACCAAAGTAGAGGATGTCCGGGAAATGGGATGTGCCCCAGGGTGGCTGTGCAGTGGCACCTTTCCATCGAGGAGCCTGGCATGGATTGGCATGCAGGCAGTGAGGTTAGGGCAAACGGTGTTGGGTGCAGGTTCTGGTCTTTCTTCTTGGGAGCTGGAATAACCAAGGAATACCAGATGGGGTTTGGACAGAGCAGACACGAACACACTAGAAGCGTGTGAGGCCTTTTTGAGACATAGGCCTAGCGCTGATCTACTCCTGACTATGCCGGCAGAGTCCTGGCTTCGGGGTCCTCCCTACCCCTCGCCTCCCAGAAAACCAGAACATGGGGAGTTCCTGGGTAAGGGAAATCTCCTTTGAGGAGGCTTCAAATACAGCCATGCCTGAGGATACAGCTTTAATGGGAGTCTTAACTCCAAGAGTCTTAGGTTAGCCGGCTCCCAGACCCACCCTACCCCACCTCTCCACGTGCACATCCTCAGCTGCAGACCCTGCATAGGCCAGGCAGCATCACCTCATGGAAAATCACATGCTCCAAGCCCTGCCAGAAATGGGCTCAAATCACCACTTAAAAGTTGTGAGAGGCTGGGTGTGGGGTGCAATGGTTCATGTTTGTGATCCCACGCTTTGGGAGGCTGAAGCAGAAAGACCACTTGAAATTAGGAGTTCTAGAGCATCCTGGGCAACATAGCAAGATGCCATCTCTACAAAATATATATATTTAATAAGCCAGGCATGGTAGTGCCCACCTGTGACCCCAGCTACTTGGGAGATTGAGGCTGGGGAGGATCCCTTGAGCTCAGAAAGTTGAAACTGCCGTGAGCCATGATAGGACCCCTACACTCCGGCCTGGGTGACAGAGCCATGCCATGTCTCAAAAAAAAAAAAAAAAGGCAGTGAGATGTGAGAGTGGGTAAAATAATTCACTCCATCTAAGCTTCTGTTTCCCTTTCTTTAAAATAGGGGCAATCATGGCAGCCTCCTTGCCAGGTTGCTTTGAGGTTCAAGGGCATAAATTTATGTTGTCCTCAGTACAATGCTTGGCACGCAGCGGATCGCGGTGAATGAGAGCTGTTGAGTGAGGAGGTACACTGGAGGGATGGTAGGAGGGGACCGCGGAGCGTGTTTCTCTGACTCTTGGAGCTAAGACTCTCTTTAGTGCCTTCCCCATTAGAGATCTAACGCCAGGGATGATCTAATTCTACACACAGCTTGGCAGTCGGCCGTCGGCTGCCAAGCCAGCGGTCGCTGGAGCCCCTGGATGCTGGTTGCCCTCGTGTGACCCCTTCTTGTCTTCTCTGCTCCCTTGCAGTGACAGCCTAGCCAAGATGGGGCTGTAGAAGTAAAACCTTCACCTGTGCAGGATATCTCTGAGAGGATCTCACTGTTGTGTGGGAGGCTGGCCTCCAGCTCGGAGCTTCAGTGTCACTGGAAACAGGCCGACCTCCGGTGGGGTGGGAGTGATGCTCATCACCCATCTCCTGCTCAGCTGGGGAAGCTTAAGCATCAGGAAGCAGCTGTTGGAGAGTGAGTTGTGTTCTTTGAGAGGGTCCCGATCTCCCCATGTCCCCTGACATCAGGTTGTTAAAGGTTGCCTGCTTCCTCCTCCCAGACAACTTAGAATACTACAACGACCTATTAAACATGCCTGGCTTGTGGGTGATTTTGAGGGAGGCAGAGAGACAACAGATATCAGTGGGAGATTTTCAGACACGAGAGGCAGAGTGTGGATGGAGACCCGTCCTCCCTCCGTGCCGTTGGCATCTTGTGCTGGGATGTAGCTGCCGATCCCAGAAAACTAGAAAGTCTTAAGTTGGTTTTGAAATGAATGCCTTTTCTTTAAACCTTTGATGCTTTGGGGTTTTTAAAAAATTTTTTCATTGAAACTATGTTAACTCATTAAAGGAAACCTTTTTTTTTTTTTTTTTTTTTAAAGGATAAGGCCAGGTGCAGTGGCTCATACCTGTAATCCCAACACTTTGGGTGGCCCAGGTGGGCAGATTGCTTGAGGTCAGGAGTTCAAGACCAGCCTGGCCAATGGGGAAACCCCATCTCTATTAAAAATACAAAAATTAGCCAGCTGTTGTGGTGCACACCTGTAATTCCAGCTTCTTTGGAGGCTAAGGCAGGAGAATCCCTTGAATCCGGGAGATGGAGGCTGCAGTGAGCCAAGATTGCACCACTGCATTCCAGCCTGGGCAACAAGAACAAAAAAAAAAAAAAAGCCACTTGGATTTAGAAAGACTACACCAACTTGTGTGTGTGTGTGTGTGTGTGTGTGTGTAAACTAAAACTTAATACATGGAACGGCAATAGACATGAATATAACCTATAAAAATGTGTGTGTGGAAGATACATACACGTCACACACAGATGACATATCCAGTGTTTGTCCTGTGATGGATGTCCCACACTTTTGATAGTGCATGGCTATTTAAGTGGATGGAGCCCTGGGGTGGGAATTAAACCCTGGCTCCAATCTGTGACCTGGGGCAAGTCCCTTAATTTGGTCTTTCCATCTTTGAAAGTGTGATCCCACCACACCCAGCTATTTTAAGGAAGTATTTGACACAGATACATAAATGGCACAGGAGTCACGATGGTGACATTGCATGTTCCCATCCTGCGTTTGGTTTTTTTGTTTTGTTTTGTTTTTTGAGGTAGTCTCACTCTGTTGCCCAGGCTGGAGTGCAGTGGTGCAATCTCAGCTTACCGTAACCTCCGCTTCCCAGGTTCAAGCGATTCTCCTGCCTCAGCCTCCTGAGTAACTGGGATTACAGGCACCCACCAGCACGCCTGGGTAATTTTTGTATTTTTAGTAGAGACGGGGTTTCACCAGGTTGGCCAGGCTGGTCTCAAACTCCTGACCTCAGGTGATCCGCCCGCCTGGCCTCCCAAAGTGCTGGTATTACAGGTCTGAGCTGCCACGCCTGGCCACTTTTTGTTTTTTGACTGTCACTACTCAGGCTCACAATATGAGGGCAGTGAGCTTTAACCTCCTTGCTCACACAGCACACTTCCAGATATAAGGGCTTTTGGTCAGGACATGTGAAGGAGCTAAAAGATCCCCAAGAGTACTAAAGTCAGCTAAAGCCACAACACAGCGGGCATTGAAGTCCTGCCTAGAACATGTAACCATGTGTGTCAAAGCAGTCACAGTTCTCTCCCATTCACTCAGCTGCCCTCAGCCCTGCCACAGTTTGAATGAAACAGTCTTCCGCCTTCCCTGGGCTTTCCTGACTTTGCAGGATAAGGCTGGCGAGTGTTCCAGAAAGTACTAGATTTTTCTCTGGTGACAAAAACCAGAGCCCCTCACCTCTGCGAGTTGTGGCCCATGTCCCACTGAGCCTCTTGCACAACCCCCTCCAGGGTGTCATTCCATCTGACAGGGCTTGTGTAGCAGAATGCCTCCTGTGTTTCAGCAAAATGAAGTTCTGCCTAGGGATAGGGTAGGCTGTCAGCCCCTCCTGTGAGAAGGGGCCATGCCCACCAGGCAAAACCTGGGAGGAATGCCCACGGCCGAGGCTGCCCCTGGAAGGCCTGGAGTCCCATTCAATCCTGTCTTTTCTGCACCCCCCCCCGCCCCCACCGTCTGGGCTCTCAGCAATTCCCAGTGTCTCTACCTCCAAAACGTGGCCTAAATATCTCCCACTGTGTCCTCCTCCTTCAAACCCACATCCTGGCCTCCATCCTCTTTGACCTGCATTTCTGCAACAGCCTCCTGACTGAATTCCATCTCCCCTCCTTCATTCCTCCAACGCCGGGATCTCCAGGAGTTTCCAAATACAGACTGAATCACCCGCCTGCTTACATACAGCCACTGGTTTCCTTGTGCCCCTAGAGTGACCTCCACACTCCTCACCAGGGCTGGGTGCAGTGGCTCACCCCTGTAATGCCAGCACTTTGGGAGGCCAAGGCAGGCGGATTGCTTGAGGCCAGGAGTTCGAGACCAGCCTGGCCGACATGATGAAACCCTGTCTCTAATAAAAATAAAAAAGTCGGCTGGGAGCGGTAGCTCACATCTGTAATCCCAGCACTTTGGGAGGCTGAGGCAGGCAGATCACCTGAGGTCAGGAGTTCAAGACCAGCCTGGCCAACATGGTGAAACCCTGTCTCTACTAAAAATACAAAAATTAACCAGGCATGATGACGGGTGTCTGTAATTCCAGCTAATTGGGAGGCCGAGGTGGGAGAATCGCGTGAACCTGGAGGCGGAGGTTGCAGTGAGCCGAGATGGCACCGTTACACTCCAGCCTGGGCAGTGGAGCAAGACTCCATCTTAAAAAAAAAAAAAAAATACAAAAGTTGCCGGGCATGGGGGTGCACACCTGTAATTCCAACTATTCAGGAGGCCGAGGCATGAGAATGGCTTGAACCCAGAAGACAGAGGTCATAGCGAGCTGAGATTGAGCCACTACACTCCAGCTTGGGTGACAGAGGAAGTCTCTGCCTCAAAATTTTTTTAAAAAATTATGACAGGGTGTGGTGGCTCACACTTGTAATCCCAGCTCTTTGGGAGGCTGAGGCAGGCAGATCCCCTAAGGTCAGGAGTTTGAGACCAGCCTGGCCAACATGGTGAAATCCCATCTCTACTAAAAATAAAAAATTCACCAGGCATGATAGCAGGTGGTTCCAGCCACTCGGGAGGCTGAGGCAGGAGAATCGCTTGAACCCAGGAGGCGGAGGTTGCAGTGAGCTGAGATCGAGCCACTGCACTCCAGCCTGGGCGACAGAGCAAGACTCCATCTCAAAACAAAAAAATTAAAACTAAAGCAAAACTCTTTATGTGGCCTGACAGGGAGGGCTCTGTGTAACCTGAGCCCTGGCTGTGTGGGTTTTTATTCTATTCCATTAATGCTGCAAGCTTGTTCCTACACCCAGGCATTTGTGTGCTGTTTCCTGTACCTGGGTTGCTTCTGAGCTGGCTGGTTCTTTCTCATCATTCATTTCTCAGCTCATGATGCTCCTTCCTCAGAGGGGCCTCCCCCAGACCCCCTGACTCCCACATTCACCCACCTCGCCCCATTTTCCTTGTTATGCGGAGCAATATGAGATACCGTTTTATTTATAGTTTTACACCTCCATTCAGCACCCCCAACGCTACACGTGTGCCCGGGAAAACAGCGTGCGATTTTCACTGCTCTGTCTCCAGGGCCTAGAAGAGTTTGTGAATATTGGTGGGTCTGCAGGAAGTCTTGGAGTGAACAGATGATGAGTGAAGGAATGAAGCCTCTTGTAGCCGATCCAAGTCACAACTAAAGTCATCATGCACTAAAAGCCCTCTGCTCTCTGGCCACATTGCCTGGACCTGGCATCGGGTGGTTGCTTAGAACAGCTAGGGGAAGGCCTTGTAGAGGGCATGCTGCCCAGCCACAGTGGCGGAGGCGGCGGTGGTGGGCGTAGAGGCATGTTGTGTACCCTGTACACTGGGGTGAACCACAGGGCAGCTTGAGAGAGTCACAGAGAGTGAGGCCGGCCTCGATGCCCAGTGAGAGCCCAGGTCTGACTCCTGCCTCAAGCCGAGCTGCCAGGGACAGCCACTGCCTGGGCACTTAGGGTAAGAAATGTTGGTTCCATGTGTCCTTCTGCCCTGGAACTGCTGGGCTGGCCAAGCTGGGAGGGCCAGGGAGGATGGGCGAAGGGTCCAGGCAAGGGTCATTTTCTGTAGTGCCAGGAACAGGGCTGAACTAATGGTGTGGTTAGTGTAGACCCAAGCAGGGGCCTGGCCTTACAGGGAGGGCTCCTTGCTCCCGCCTTAAAGGAAAGTTCTGTGGTCAGTGGGCTGAAGGTGGAGGAATCCGTTCCTCCAGAGGTTCGGGAGAGCTGGGAAGGGCTGTGAGCTGGGACCCATTTTCCCTCGCCCTGCCCAGAAAGTTGGATGTGGTTTCCGGGGTGGGGTGGGGTGTCCCGCCTGAGCAGGCTATGGGAAGTGCCTGCCCCTCATTGGGCAGCCTGTTTTAGCCACTTCCCCAGCGCTGAGTCACGGTGCTTCTGAACACCCCTCCCAGAGGCACAAGGAACACCCTCTGCCCTCCCAAACCACAGCTGCCCCCAGGACCGGCCCAGGCCTCTGGTGGGAGCAAGGACCCCCACTGCCTGCTTGTTCTAAAACTCCGTGTTCCAGCTCCTCACCTGGACGAGTGACTCCAAATCACTCATGGCCGGTGAAAGCAAGCTCTTGCTGGCCCTCAGTCCTGCTGCGTGGCCTGTCTAGTCTGAGCTCCAGAGATCCCAGCCTTGTACCCACCTCAGACTACAGGCACTGCAGCCCTCCTCGCTGGGGCAGTGGGACAGACGTGTGACTCCCTCTAGGCCCCAACTCTCTCAGGACCCTTCCTTGCTGGGCAGTTTTTTTTTTTTTCTTCTTTTTTTCTATTGAGACAGAGTCTCCCTCTGTCACCCAGGCTGGAGTGCAGTGGCGCAATCTCAGCTGACTGCAACCTCCGCCTCCCGGGTTCAAGCGATTCTCCTGCCTCAGCCTCCTGAGTAGCTGGAATTACAGGCATCTGCCACCATGCCTGGCTAATTTTTGTATTTTTAGTAGAGACGGGGTTTCACCATCTTGACCAGGCTGGTCTTGAACTCCTGACCTTGTGATCCACCTGCCTTGGCCTCCCAAAGCGCTGGGATTACAGGCGTGAGCCACTGCGCCCGGCCCCTTGCCAAGTATTGAAGATGGCTTTCCACAAGCCACAAAGTCTTGTTCCCACCCCCTCAGCGAGTGAGACCATGGCAACAGGCAGCACTGGATATGCCTATCCCTGTCTTTCTGGGGTGTGGGGTTGAACAAGATCCTGGAGATCCCAGGGCTAGCCCAGGATGGCTGTAATTTCAGCTGAGTTTCCCTGCTGTCCCCTCCGACCTACCTCTATAGTTCCACCTGCAAGGATGTGGTGGGGGCTGTGGCTAACAGGATGCGGGGAGCCGCCCACCCCTGTAGCCGTTGTGGCCAGGATATTTGTTGCCTCTGGGCAGCCACAGTGACCTGAAGCTTCTGTGGTGCGTCCTGGGAAGCCGAGTCTGTGGTTTTTTTTTTTTTTTTTTTTTCTTTCCTCTCTAATGAGCACATAAGATCACGAAATCACAGGGCCTGACATCACTCACAGGGTCTGGGGATTCTGGCTGTCGTGTTGAAACCTTTACACAGCTCTAGAGGCTTGCGCTACCGTGTTCCCACCTGGTTCTGACCATCCACGCCCCCTCCCTGCTTCCCTGTCTTTGTTGTTTACCTGGTGAGCACACCTGCCCTGTTTTCACCTGTGTGTTCTCACTCAAGGCTGCTGTTTCTCAACTGGGGCAGTTTTGCCTCCTGGGGAACATTGGGCAATGTCTTGAGACAGCATTGCTTGTTGTGAGTCGGGGAGGGATACCACTGGCATCTACTGTGTAAGAGACCAGGGACACCGCTTAACACCCAGCAGTGCACGGGGCAGTCCCGATGAGAAATTACCTGGCCCAAATATCAACAGTGTGGAATCTGCTCTAGGATGACACAAGAACCTTCCTGAAGCAGCAGTTGGGTCCCCCCGTCTCTGCACCTTGCCACCCAGCAGTGGGGAGGAGCACTCAGTGGCCGGGGGTCACTGACCAGCAACGCTGCCACCAGAGCTGGAGAAGGGCCTGGAGCGGGGTGAGGGGAGCCCTGGGCTCAAAGATCCAGCTTCTAGCTCAGCTCTGTTCCTCTGGGCTAAAAGCCTGGATAAGTCACTTCTCTTCAATAAACCTGTTTCCTCATCCATAAAGTGAAAGGGCAGCACTGAATATCCCCTCCAGTTCTTTGAGATTCCTGGATGCCGTGCGTAGAGCCAGGAGCTGGGGTGCAGGCAGGTGGAAGATGGGGTTCTCTCTCTTCCTGACTGGTACAGTAGAAGCCTGAAGGATTTGCCAGGACTGAAAGTTCGTTTGAAGCCTGGCCTTATTTCTTTCTATGCTCAGCATGACTAAGGTAGACCCTACCTTCTCTTTATTTTTCTTTTCTTTTCCTCTTTCTTTTTTTGAGACGGAGTTTCGCTCTTGTTACCCAGGCTGGAGTGCAATGGTGCGATCTCGGCTCACCGCAACCTCCGCCTGCTGGGTTCAGGCAATTCTCCTGCCTCAGCCTCCTGAGTAGCTGGGATTACAGGCACGCACCACCATGCCCAGCTAATTTTTTGTATTTTTAGTAGAGACGGGGTTTCACCGTGTTGACCAGGATGGTCTTGATCTCTTGACCTCGTGATCCACCCACCTCGGCCTCCCAAAGTGCTGGGATTACAGGCGTGAGCCACTGCGCCCGGCCTTCCTCTTTCTTTCTTTTTTATTTTTTTGAGACAGTCTCGCTGTGTTGCCAGGCGCCAGGCTGGAGTGCAATGGCACGATCTCGGCTCACTGCAGCCTCCACCTTCCCAGGTTCAAGCAATTCTCCTACCTCAGCCTCCTGAGTAGCTGGGACTACAGGCGCACGCCACCATGCCCAGCTAATTTTTGTGTTTTTAGTAGAGATGGGGTTTCACCATGTTGGCCAGGATGGTCCTGATCTCTTGACTTTGTGATCCGCCCACCTCAGCCTCCCAAAGTGCTGGGATTACAGGCGTGAGCCACCGCGCCCGGCCTTCTCTTTCTTTCACCTTCCTTTCCCTCCCCTTTTCCCTCCGTCTTTCCTTTCCTCCCTTTCTCCCTTCCTCCCTTCCTTCTTCCCTTCCTTCCTTTCCTCTCTCCCTCCCTCCCTCCCTCCCTGTTTTCCCCAGAGTTTTACCTAGGAGCCCATGGCTGACCAAGAGGGTCATATATGATATTCAGGGGTCAGCAAATTACAGTCCATGAGCCAAACCCAGCCTGCATTTGCTTTTTATAAATAAATATGTGGCTTTTTGGTGTTCTTTTTTTCTTCTTTTATTGGTTTATTACAATGGATAAAACTCTGGAATAGCCAAATGGAAGAACTGCATGAGGAGGCGTGGGGTCAGGTGTTGGGGCTGGGGAGCAGGGGGACGCCTCCTTCCCGGGGCCTGTATGTGCTCACCAACCCAGCAGTTCTCTGTAAATAAAATGTCATTGGAACATAGCCATACCTACTTGTTTACATGTTGCTATGGCTACTTTCTTTTTTTTTTTTTTTTTTTTTTTTTTTGAGACGGAGTTTCACTCGTTACCCAGGCTGGAGTGCAATGGCGTGATCTCGGCTCACCGCAACCTCCGCCTCCTGGGTTCAGGCAATTCTCCTGCCTCAGCCTCCTGAGTAGCTGGGATTACAGGCACACGCCACCATGCCCAGCTAATTTTTTGTATTTTTAGTAGAGACGGGGTTTCACCATGTTGACCAGGATGGTCTCGATCTCTTGACCTCGTGATCCACCCGCCTCGGCCTCCCAAAGTGCTGGGATTACAGGCTTGAGCCACCGCACCCGGCCTCTCTTTTCTTTTTTAAATGTTGTGTAGAGATAGAGTCTCACTGTGTTGCCCAGGCTGGTCTGCAACTCCTGGACTCAACTGATCCTCCTGCCTTAGCTGCCCAAAGTGCTGGGATTACAGTTGTGACCCCCCACCCCCACCCCGTGCCTGGCCAGCGGCTGCTTTTATACTAAGAAGGCAGAGTTGAGTAGCTGGGACAAAAACCCTATCAGCCACAAAGCGAGAATATTTGCTGTCTGGCCCTTTGCAAAAAGTGTTTGTCGACCCTTGATCTAGCGGTTCAATGTCTAATTGTTTAGAGGCTGAGATAGGGCAGGAGGGTGGGTCCCAGGACTATCAGGTTAGAGTTAGGGGAAGGTCACTTTCCTAAGGGTGGGGAGGAGGGAGGGCTGACCTGTGACCAAGAGCAGAGCGTCATCTCCAGGCATTGTGCCCGTCCTCACCCACGTCACTGTGGCAAGTCGGCCAGGTGCCTGGCTCCCCCCAGCCCCAGCCCGAGCGAACTTTGTTGGAATGACAAGCGGTGTTGTGTGGGCATTGGGAGGGGACACATTGCTGGTGGGAGAAGCCATTAGATCCGGCAGCCGAGGCTTGAGAGAACAGGGAAGTGGATGGGGGTGAGGACGCAGAGAGGTCAGACCAGGAGCCCTGGAGGCAGGCTGTGGGCAGGAGAGGAGAGGAGGGAGGTGCTGGACTTGCAGTGGGTGCTCGAAGGCCGACCGTGTGGCACACCCTGCCGGACCGGACTCGGTGGTGAACAGACCCGTTAAAACTCTGGAAGTTCGCACTGCAGCGGGCAGATGATAGTCCAGACAGCAGGGGTAGAAGAACGTAGCCGGTGCCTGCTGGGAGACAGGACATCTGAAGTGCTGTGGGGGGCAGGTGGTAGGGAAGACACACCCTAGCTGAAGTGTCCCATCATTCCTGGGAGCAGTGATGTGTCCCAGCTGAGCACTGAAGGATGCTGGGTGTCACAGGGGTTGCATCAAGGAACTGTTTGTGTCTAGTACAGCTCAGGGGACAAAAGTAAGAGACACTGAGGAGCGAGGTGGGGACTAATCATTGGATCACAGGGTCTGCACTGGGTAGGGCGTCGTGTGGATAGGTTTTGTTTTAGCCAAGGACAGGAGAGAGACAGACAGGGATACATTAGGCTGAGGTCAGGGGCCACATGGGGTGTGGTGGGCTCACGTGGGGCAGCAGCAGGCATGCGGAGGAAGCACCCACCATCTGAATTTTGCAGTGGGAAGGGTGGGTCTGGACTGGGGGCACCTCTCAGAACTGTGCTGCTGGCTGGTTGGGAGGGAGGCAGGTACCTGGTGTCCAAGCATCACCTCTCACCCACCATACTTTGTTAAATCCCTACGCCCATCTCCCTCTACCCTGCCCAGCTCTGCTGGGCTCAGTAGTTGGGACAAGTCTCTCTGGGTGAGAGAGGGGCTGGTTTGGACCCAATACTGAACTTCATCTTGGCCCTTGCCAGGAGCTGTGAAAGTGGTGCCTCCAGGCTCCTGGACTCTACCTCTGCTGTTCTTTGGATTTCTGGTGAATCACCTAAGAGTCAGTCTTCAGATCGTGGTGGGGACCAAGTCATTTAGGGTCTAGTCCCTGCCTCCCACTCTCCAATGATGAAAGAAAGTAGAAGTTCCCCAATCTTCATCTCCCACAGACACCAGAAGGTGGAGATGTCGCAGGCGGGATCCCCATTTATGGGACACCAAGCGAAGGCTGAAAGGCTGGGGAGCTGGTTCTGTGGGTCCCAGCAGCCCCACCCCAATTCCGATTCAGAAAGAGAACGTGCCGCCCACGCACGTGGAGGAGCTGCTCAGCCTCTGTCTCCCTGGGCCCATCCTATCCTTCCCTTCTGTCACTGAGGACCATGACTCAGGGTGGGGTGTCCACTAACTCCACAGGGGTCGAGGTTAAACAGCAGGAAGGACATACAGCACCATCTCCAGGCTGGCTGTTCTAGGAGCCAGCCCATAGACTCCGTCTCTTCCCAGGCTTACTGCCTGGAATTGCTGGATTCACCTTCACATCCTTAAAGGTCGTCCTGTCCTGTTTGCTCTGGCAGCACCCTGGCTTGCAGGGGCGGAGGAGCCATTGTCTTTTACGAGAAAGGTTCTCTCTCTCTCAAGTTGCAGGGAAAGTGTGTCTGAGGCTACTGGAACTCTAACCAGATTTGCGAAATCACTCTACTCTGAATGCCTGTGAATGGAGAAACAGGCAGGGTTATACCATTGATTGCTGGCTTATTTCACATTGTTAGGAGCGTGGGGTTTAAATGACAGCCCCTTGGCAAATAGGCTTTTGTGCCGTGTGGCCAGCCCGAGTTAATCCTCTGCCTCCCGTTCTCTGCTTGCAGCCTTATGATCTCATTGCGTCCCCCTCCGCCCACCAGACTTGGACTTCAGATCTGACCCCAGACCTGCCAGCTACCTCGGGAGGGCCCACCTCCCCACCCGTCCAGCAAAATGCCGATCCTCAAGCAGCTGGTGTCTAGCTCGGTGCACTCCAAGCGCCGTTCCCGAGTGGACCTCACGGCCGAGATGATCAGCGCGCCGCTGGGTGACTTCCGCCACACCATGCATGTCGGCCGGGCTGGAGATGCCTTTGGGGACACCTCCTTCCTCAATAGCAAGGCTGGCGAGCCCGATGGTGAGTCCCTGGATGAGCAGGCCTCCTCTTCATCTTCCAAACGCAGTCTCCTGTCCCGGAAGTTCCGGGGCAGCAAGCGGTCACAGTCGGTGACCAGGGGGGACCGGGAGCAGCGGGACATGCTGGGCTCCCTGCGGGACTCGGCCCTCTTCGTCAAGAATGCCATGTCTCTGCCCCAGCTCAATGAGAAAGAGGCCTCAGAGAAGGGCACCAGTAAGCTGCCCAAGAGCCTGTCGTCCAGCCCTGTGAAGAAGGCCAATGGTGGGGAGGATGGCGAGGAGGCGGGTGTGGAGGAGGCAGTACCCCGTCGGAATGGGGCCATGGGTCCCCATTCCCCAGACCCCCTCCTCGACGAGCAGGCCTTTGGGGACCTGACGGATCTCCCAGTCGTGCCCAAGGCCAGCTACGGCATGAAGCACGCGGAGTCCATCATGTCCTTCCACATCGACCTGGGGCCCTCTATGCTGGGTGATGTCCTCAGCATCATGGACAAGGAGGAATGGGACCCCGAGGAGGAGGAGGGCGGTTACCACGGCGATGAGGGCGCTGCTGGCACCATCACCCAGGCTCCCTCGTACACCATGGCTGCCACTCCCCTGGCAAGGCAAGAAGGCAAAGCCGGCCCAGACTTGCCCTCCCTCCCCTCCCATGCTCTGGAGGATGAGGGGTGGGCAGCGGCCGCCCCCAGCCCTGGCTCAGCCCGAAGCGTGGGCAGCCACACCACACGGGACAGCAGCTCCCTCTCCAGCTGCCCCTCGGGCGTCCTGGAGGAGCGCAGCCCTGCCTTCCGGGGGCCAGACAGGGCCCGGGCTGCTGTCTCGAGGCAGCCAGACAAGGAGTTCTCCTTCATGGACGAGGAGGAGGAGGATGAAATCCGCGTGTGAGCAGACAGCGGGTGGCCACCCGGAGCTCTCGGCTGCTTCTTCTCCCTGCCTGCACCCCACTATGACCTTTGACCCTACGGTGTAGGGGCAGCCAGGAGCCTTGCTTTGAACCGTGGACCCTGGACCTTGTAGATGAAGGACATTGGCCTGGCCCTCGGGTCTTCAGAGGACTTGAGGTGCTGGCATGGGTGCCGGCTGGCTGCCTGACTTCATCACGCTCCCTGCACTTGGGCTGCGTGGGACAAGGGCTGTTTTCACAGCAGGAATCGGCTTTCCTCTCTCGGCCTCCCTTTCTTCCACCCAGGCCTCAAATGGATGCCAGATGCCGACCTGAGTTCCTGCCACGTGCAGCCAGTGGGTCAGCCAGGAGGCAGCCTCAGCTCCAGGGCTGAGGACACTCGGCTCCCCTTTTCTCTGCTGGCGTTTCTGCTGTGCTCAGAGATGGCTGCTGGGGATGCAGCTGCAGCGGGAGGAAGGAGGGGGTCTTTCCTCTCACCCCTCCCTGCTCCACCCCAACCGCTGTCCTGGAAGTCTGGAACCCCTCGGAGCTGAGCTGGACCAGGGGCAGCCGCGAACGTGTGCACTAAACGCAGCCCTTTCCCGGGGAAGAGATCAGGATGGGGAATAGAAGGAAAGCCCTCAGGCTTCTGAAATTGCAAGAAGGGACCCTTCCAGGATGACACTAGGAACAGGGCTAGGGCCCTCACTCAGTCCCTGGGAGCTCCTTTGTTCTTTATTATTATGTTTAAATCCTTATAGAGCAGTATCAGGACAGCGTTAATAGGTCTGCCGCAGAAGGAGAATCAATCCTTTTAGAAAACCTTTATACTAAGCTTCCTCTTTGAAATTCACAGTGGCGACGAGTGGGCTGGAGTCTGGGACATCCATGGCAAAGACACCAGCTCCACTTTAGCGCTTCCCAACTTGATTTAGAATGACACGGGGTGGGTGCCCGGTGTGTGTTTTCCCTACCCACCCCCCATAGCTATTAACAACTGAGGAAGGCCAGTGTAGAACATTTTTGGAGAATGATTTTTTTTTTTAAATAATCATTCCTATGGGAGGAAAAGTTTTTTTTTTTTTTTGGGTAGTTATTCCCTCCCTCTCCCCCACCCCACACCCTCGGTACTGACTACTTTCCCTTCCTTTCTCAGGCCTCCCCCCTCCATACTTCTGAGGCCAGGGGTGCCAGATTTAGCAAAACCAAAACAGGGTTCAGAGTTAAATGCGAATTTCAGGTAAACAAAAAATAATTTTCTCAAATTAATATGCCCCCACGCAATATTTAGAACACTTAGGCCAAAAGTTGTTTGTTTTTCTGAAATTCAGGTTTCTCTCTGAGTCCTGTAACTCTCCTGAAGGGACTGAGCAGAAGCTCGGGGGTGACCCCCAAGGTTGACTGCCGGTTATTCTTCTGTGCTGGGAATAGCTCGACCCACCTCCCTGTGTCCCTGTAGCCAGCGTGGGGAGGAGAGAGACGAGCCAACCACAACCACGGGCGTCCCCATGGAGACTCTGGCCTGGCCTCCCCTCTCTTGCCTGACGAGACACTAACTTAGTTCCTGGTTCGGTGCCCTGTTGGTGCTCCTGTTTCCAATAGCTTAACGCCCACAGTGGGGGAGGAATCGCAGGGGCTGTGCGCCCCGCCAGCTGCCCTCAAATCCCATCCAGGCGAGTTCCAGACTCTAAACTGAATTTTTTTTCATGATATTGTCAAAGCAATGAGGAATCATTAAAGAAAAAAAAAAAAAGCCCTTTACAGCTCGCCTGGTATCTGTCTCTGCTTTTTGTGAGGGCTATTTCAGGATGGGGGTGGGATCTGGACCTGGGTCCTGGGGCTGTCCATGGGGGCCTGAGGTGGCTTCTGTCTCTCTGTCCCTGGGGACCCGCCTCTGCTTCGATGCTGTCTGCCTAGGCGGGCCACTTAAGAATTTGGGGACACAGGTGTCCCAACTGCCATCTCTTGTAGGCCCTTGGCACTTGGTCAGCTAGCTATTCTGTGCCTCCCTCTTCTCTGTAAAATGGGTATCCTGCCACTCTTAAAGGGCTGGGGCACAGACACAGTGAAGTGGGCTTTTCTGGTTTTGTGTTTTTTTTTTGTTTGTTTTTTTTTTTTTTTTGGTGGTGGTGGATTTTTTAATCGAGACAGAATCCCACACTGTTGCCCAGGCTATAGTGCGGTCTCGCAATCTTGGCTTGCTGCAACCTCCACCTCCCAGGTTCAAGCGATTCTCCTGCCTCAGCCTCCCAAGTAGCTGGAATTACAGGCATGTGCCACCACACCCAGCTAATTTTAATTTTTGTTTTTTTAGTAGAGATGGGGTTTCACCACGCTGTCCAGGCTGGTCTCAAACTCCTGACCTCAAGTGATCTACCCACCTCAGCTGGGATTACAGGTATGAGCCACCTGCCGGCCGACGTGGCCTTTCTGTACAGTTGTGCTTAGGACTAGAGTGACTGTGTCCTCCCCAGCCCCCAGGTGTCCTGGTGCACGGGACTGTCACCGCCAGAAAGTGGCTGGCACTGCAGGCAGGCTCTGTGCACAGCTGGGAGTGGGGCTGCCACCTCCTCTTGCCCTTTTACTGTAAAGCCCAGAAAATAAGCTTACAGGTGGCAGGTCCTTGGTCTAACCTGGCTCTTCAGGGAGACAGAAGCTCCACTTCCTCATTTCCAAATGAAGAAATGTGCTCAGAGAAGCCTTGGGGTCGCCTTCTCTCACATCCAGAATTCATTCAAAACTCCTGCCCTTCTTACCCCCACCACTCCTGGGCACATCAAAGCCCTGGGAAATGAAGTCACGGGGTGAGGGTTCAGTGGCCCCTGCATCCCCGCTGCCCCGCCCCTTCACCTGCTGCCCCGCCCCTGCACCTGTTGCCCCGCCCCTGCACCTGTTGCCCCGCCCCTGCACCACCACCTCCTTTCCTCGCACCGTGTTCGCCTCTGCCTGGGCAGCCTCAGAAGGGAACCCCAGTCTGCGCAGGGATGGCTCACTGCTTCCTGAAGCCCCTGTTTGCTCTCAGGAAATCTTGGGGACCCCAATGTGGCTGAGTTCCTGGTGGAAACCCTGCCCCTCCCCTGAGCATCCACAGAGAAATGTGGGTTCCCTGCTCATCTGCCTGGGACGCAATTAGAGGCATAATTAAAATGTCACTCAGGTCTCTTTGTCCCTAGACAGGCTCATGCCCGTGGGGAGTTACGAGCAGGGCTTTCTGGCTGCCCCAAGGGAAGAAGACAGAGGGAGGAGGGCTGCAGCCCAGTGGGAGACGGGTTCCTAGGGGCTACGGTCTTGCTCAGGGATGACTGCCGAAGGGAGGTACTCTTCAGGCGAAGCCCAGGCAGGTGAGTAGGGACTGTGCCTGCCAGAGTGAGGCTTCCCAAGAGAGAGAAATGACTACCTACACCGACTAACCAGGGACTCGGAGGGGCCAAGAAAAGCCACCGACCCCAAACCCCAGAATTTGTTGCTTGGCCATTGATGGAAAAAGCTCTGAGCATTCAAGAAGACCCAGGGACCTGGCTTGATTTGCAGTTTTAAGGAGCTTCTGGCTGGGGGTTCAGTGGACCCAGGGGACAAGGATGAGAGGGGCAGCCAGAACCAGCCGAGCCACAGAGCTCAGTCAAGATTTGCTGGGTGCCAGGCACCGTGGCTCATGCCCATAATCCTAGCACTTTGGGAGGCTGAGGCAGGAGGATCCCATGAGGCCAAGAGTTTGAGATCAACTTGGGTAACAGCGAGACAACATCTCTACCATATATATATATATATGTACATTTTTTTTTTTTTGAGACAGAGTCTCACACTGTCACCCAGGCTGGAGTGCCATGGCGTGATCTTAGCTCACTGCAACCTCCGCCTCCAGGGTTCAAGCAATTCTCCTGCCTCAGCCTCCCAAGAAGCTGGGATTACAGGTATGCACCACGATGCTTGGCTAATTTTTTGTATTTTTAGTAGAGACGGGGTTTCATTATGTTGGTCAGGCTGGCCTCAAACGCCTGACATCATGATCCACCCGTCTCAGCCTCCAAAAGTGCTGGGATTAGAAGCATAAGCCACCGTGCCCAACCAATGAATTTTTAAAAAATGATCCGCTGGGTAGCCTTGGGCCAGTTATTCTCTCGCTCCAATTGGCTTCAGCTTCTCTATCTTTAAAATTAGGCAGTAGCTCAGTTGTTTTCAACTTTTTACCAGAAGCTTTGTTTGCAACGAGGTCATGCTATTTTTTTTAATTGATTTTTCTTTTTTTTTTTTTTTTTTTTAGTCAGATTCTTTCTCTGCTGCCCACGCTCGAGTGCAGTGGCACGATCTTGGCTCACTGCAGCCTCTGCCTCCCAAGTTCAAGCAATTCTCCTGCCTCAGCTTCCTGGGTAGCTGGGATTACAGGTGCACACCACCACATCCCACTAAATTTTTTTGTATTTTTAGTAGAGGCAGAGTTTCACCATGCTGGCCAGGCTGGTCTTGAACTCCTGAACAGGTGATCTGCCTGCCTTGGCCTCCCAAGGTGTTGGGATTACAGGCGTGAGCCACTGCACCCGGCCTTTTATAATTGATGATTTATTTATTTATATTTTATTTTATTTTGAGACAGAGTTTTGCTCTTTTGCCCAGGATGCAGTGCCATGGCTCCATCTCAACTCACTGTAACCTCCACCCGCTGGGTTCAAGCAATTTTCCTGCCTCAGCCTCCCAAGTAGCTGGGATTACAGGCACCCGCCACCATATCTGGCTAATTTTTGTATGTTTTAGTAGAGACGAGGTTTCACCATGTTGGCCAGGCTGGTCTCGAACTCCTGACCTTAGGTGATCTACCCACCTCAGCCTCCTAAAGTGCTGGGATTACAGGCATGAAACACTGCGCCTGGCCCCTGCTCATTTTAGACTGAGGCTGGGAGAACAAGTGATTGGCCAAAGTCCCGAGAGTGGATCGGAGCTGAGCAGGTGGAATTCTCTGGGCTGGCCTGGGTGCTGCAGCCTGGCAGATGAAGGACAGGTTGAGAGGTGGCGTGAGCAGCAGACTGCGTGCAGAGCTGGGAGTGGTGTAGCTGCAGGGATGGCTGGAAGATCCCGGAACGCAGGGTGAGATGAAGGGGTGGGCCTTTCCAGGTGTGTGCGGTACTCCCCACCCCCTCCCTGGCTCCCCTCAACCCTCATACGACAGACTCCCCAAGGCCCGCACTCCCTCCACACTTGGGCAGGTGCCCTTCCTGGCACACCCCTCACCTGCAGCACTTAACATATACACAATCTCCCTGAGCCCTGAAGGCCCTGATTTAAGATGCCAGAAGTAAAAGTTAGGAATGAAAATGGGAGAGCTTATCTTCCTTCTTCCTCCTTCCTTTCTTCTCTAGGCCCCATGGCTTCCTGCCAAGAGACAGATGGGAAAGTAGGAAGAGTATTTTCGTGGGAGGGAGTGATGCTTACAGGCAGATGGACGCTGGCTCTGCCTCTAAAACCTGTTGCTCTAACCTACTGAGCTGCTGTTCTCCACAGTGAGACTCCCAGGAGAGAGGGGAGGAGCCAAGGCTAGCTGCCTTCCCTGGCCAGAATCCAACCCTAAATGATACTTGGCATGTTAAAAAATACTTGTCAAGGCCACAGGGCTCTGATGAGTCTTGTTTTCTTTCACTGCCCTGTTTTCTTTCAAAAAGGTTTAGAGACAGCTTACAAAAATACATAAAATACAATAGGATAAAAATAGATCACAGAGAAAACACTGGAACAAACAGTACAAGGAACCCAGAGGGTAGGACACAGCAATGTTCTTTGGCTGGGCCTCCGCAGTTCCCAAAGGTGGGCTGCAAACAGGATTCTGAGCTTCCTATCAGTCAAAGCAAAGAGGGAAATCCTCTGGTTTTGAGACTCACAAAATCCACAAGGTTAAAACCAATCCTGGCTGGGAATACAGGCATGTGCCACCATACCTGGCTGAATTTTTTTTTTTTTTTTTTTTTTGAGATGGAGTCTCGCTCTGTCACTCACGCTGGAGTGTAGCGGCATGATCTTGGCTCACAGTAACCTCCACCTCCTGAGTTCAAAAGATTCTCCTGCCTCAGCCTCCTGAGTAGTTGGGATTACAGGCACCCGCCACCATGCTGGTATTTTAGTAGAGACCAGTCTTCACCATGTAGGCCAGGCTGGTCTTGAACTCCTGACCTCAGGTGATCCTCCCACCTTGGCCTCCCAAGTGCTGGGATTATAGGTGTAAGTCACTGCACCTGACCTCAACAACAGTCTTACAATAGAGTGCTATGGTCGGAATGTTTACGTTCCCCTCAAATTCATATGTTGAAATCCTAACCTCCAAGGTGACGGTATTTGGAGGTGGTGCCCTTGGGATGTGATCAGGGCAGGAGATGGAGGCCTCATGAATAGGATTAGTGCCCTAATAAAAGATGCCTCAGAGAATTGACCTGTCCTTCCCCCATGTGAGGACAAAGCAGGAAGGTGCCATCCATGTGCTGAGAAGCAGGCACCACATGTGTTGGCTTTTTTTTTTTTTGAGACAGAATCTCGCTCTGTCACCCAGCCTGGAGTGCAGTGTCATGATCTCGGCTCACTGCAACCTCCGCCTCCCAAATTCAAGCAATTCTCCTGCCTCAGCCTTCCGAGTTGCTGGGACTACAGGTGGGTGTCACCACACCCGGTTACAATTTGTGTTTTTTGGTAGAGATGGGGTTTCACTGTGTCGACCAGGCTGGTCTCAAACTCCTGAACTCAAGTGATCTGCCCGCCTCAGCTTTCCAAAGTGCTGGGATTACAGGTGTGAGCCACCGTGCCCAGCAAATTTTTGTTGTTTATAAGCTACCCATGGTACATTGTTTATAGCATCCCAAATGGACTAAGTGAGACACAAATACAGTCATACAAACCCTAACAGCCACTTTCTACAGAGGTGCTCAGGATAAACGGAGGGCTTGATGCCAAGGCACAGATCAATAAAGCCAAGTCTATGGAGGGCAGACCCATGTGATCCAAGAGACACAATTTAGATTCTCTCAGAGAAGGGTTCGTCAACCCCAACGCCACTGACATTTGGGGCTGCTCATTCATTGTTAGTGGGAACTCACCTGCGCGTGGTTAGGGTGTTTGCAGCATCCCTGAGCTCTACCTGGTAGACACTAAGCACTCTCTCAAATTGTGACAGTTAAAAATGTCCCCAGGCCGGGCTTGGTGGCTCATGCCTATAATCCCAGCACTTTGGGAGGCCAAGGCAGTTGGATCACTTGAGCCCAGGAGTTCAAGACTTGGCCATCATGGTGAAACCTGGTCTCTACAAAACATATAAAAAAATTAGCCAGGTGTGGTGGTGTGCCCCCATGGTCCCAGCTACTGGGGAGGCTGAGGTGGGAGGATCCATGAGCCTAGGAGCCTGAGGCTGCAGTGAGATGTGATCACACCACTGCTCTTCAGCCTGGGCAACAGAGTGAGACCCTGTTTCAAAAAAAAAAAGTCCTGGGACATTGCCAAATGTTCTATTGGAGGCTGAAAACCATTGCTCTTAGAGATGTGAGCCACATTCTTAAAAGGTTGGTGCAAAAGTAATTGTGGGCCGGGTACAGTGGCTCATGCCTGTAATCCCAGCACTTTGGGAGGCCGATGCAGATGGATCACTTGAGGTCAGGAGTTCGAGGCCAGGCTGGCCAACACAGCAAAACCCTGTCTCTACTAAAAATACAAAAATTAGTTGGGCATGGTAGCACAAGCCTATAATCCTAGCTACTCGGGAGGCTGAAGCAGGAGAATCACTTGAGCCCAGGAGGCAGAGGTTACAATGAGCTGAGATTTCGCCGCTGCACTCCAGGCTGGGTGACAGAGCAAGATTCTGTCTCAAGAAAAAGCAAAAGAAAAAAAAAGTAATTGCAGGTTTTGCCATAAAAGTAATGGCAAAATATAATGGCCAATCTAAGACTAATAAAAATGTTTTCAGGTCACATGCTTTTATTCAAAGCAAAAGAAAAAAAGATTTATACCATTCCTTGACAGAAAATGTATATACTTACATTTTAAAATTACCTACTTGATTGAAAAAACTGACACTTCCTATTAGTCAGTAAAATGTTTCTACATGGGTATACCTGAGAAGTGGCTGCACCAAGGTAGATTTCTAATTTTTCATCCTGAAGTGAGATTGAGGATTGTGTTGAGAAGGTGGTACGGGCCAGAGGGTTTGTCCTTGTGGACCTAGGGCAGCAAGGGGATTGCATCATCTCCTAGCTGACGTGGAAAATGATCCTGCAACAATATCATTTCTCACAACCATGGTTCTTCCCCAGCCCTCCACCAAATCTGGGTTGACTGCAAAGAGGCTGCCGTTGTATTCTCTGAAAAAAGAAATCTAAGGGCCGGGCATGGTGGCTCATGCCTATAATCCCAGCACTTTGGGAGGCCGAGGCAGGTGGATCACGAGGTCAGGAGTTCAAGACCAGTCTGGCCAAGATGGTAAAACCTCGTTTCTACTAAAAATACCAAAAAAAAAAAAAAAAAAATTACCCAGACATGATGGTGTGTGCCTGTAATCCCAGCTTCCTGAGAGGCTGAGCCAGAGAATTGCTTGAACCCAGGAGGCGGAAGTTGCAGAAAGCCGAGATCGTGCCACTGCCCTCCAGCCTGGGCAACAGAGCAAGATTCTGTCTCGGGGTGGGGGGGAGAAGAAATCTATAGTGCAGACTCCTTTATTCATAAAATACATACTGAGCCCCTGCTATGCACCAAGCACTCTGGGACGTGCTGGGAGGTATAACAGTAGGC